TCTATTGGATTAAGATCCGGGGATTGGGCTGGCCACTCTATAACGTCAATCTTGTTGGTCTGGAACCAAGATGTTGCACATTTACTGGTGTGTTTGGGGTCGTTGCCTTGTTGGAACACCCATTTCAAGGGCATTTCCTCTTCAGCATAAGGTAGCATGACCTCTTCAAGTATTCTGATGTATTCAAACTGATCCATGATCCCTGGTATGCGATAAATAGGCCCAACACCGTAGTATGGGAAACATCCCCATATCATGATGCTTGCGCAACCATGCTTCACTGTCAGTGTACTGTGGCTTGAATTCAGTGTTTGGGGGTCATCTGACAAACTGTCTCCAAAAAAGAACCCAAAAAGAACAATCTTACTTTCATCAGTCCACAAAATGTTGCGCCATTTCTCTTTAGGCCAGTCAATGTGCTCTTTGGCAAATTGTAACCTCTTCAGCACATGTCTTTTTTTCACAGTGGGACTTTGCGAGGGCTTCTTGCAGATAGCTTTGCTTCACATAGGCATCTTCTAATTGTAACAGTACTCACAGGTAACTTTAGACCTTCTTTGATCTTCCTGGAGCTGATTGTTGGCTGAGTCCTTGCCATTTTGGCTATTCTTCTATCCATTCGAATGGTAGTTTTTCACTTTCTTCCACGTCTTTCAGATTTGGTTGCCATTTTAAAGCATTTGCAATTATTTTAGCTGAGCAGCCTATCATTTTCTGCACTTCTTTGTATGTTTTCCCCTCTCCAATCAACTTTTTAATCAAGGTACGCTGTTCTTCTGAACAATGTCTGGAACGACCCATTTTCCTCAGAATTTCAGAGAGAAATGCACTGTAACCAGCATATACAACATTTGCTGCCTTCCTTCCTTAAATAAGGGCAATAATTGCCACCTGTTTTTCAAAGAATGAATGACCTCACTAATAGAACTCCACACTGCTATTATTTTGAACATGCCCCTTTCAATTAGTGATTCAATTACACAGAATCAGCAGCAGGCATGTCATGACTGTTGGGTCTGTTGGATTTCTATTACTCTACTACACCTGTTAGTAAATTATTTGTCACGTAGAAATATCATTTCTACCAAAAACAGTGATTGATCAGGTTAGTGATGTCTGAATGCTATTATTTTGAACACAACTGTATATATTTATTATATTATGTGAGTGTTTTGGACACAGAGCACTTTCTTATCACTTTTTTTGCAGAATTTATCCCCCAGTGTTGGGATCACATGTGTGGTTTTTTCACTATATACCATTATGTTGTATTGAGCTTATTCACTTGTGTTTATTTATCCAGTATTGGAACACTTTAAGTTGGTAGTTTTTTCACTATTAACCACATCAATATTCCCTATTAGGTATTTTAGTCACTGTTTGGTTAGAGAGCGCTACACCTATTTTTTGTATTTTTGTTTCCCCCCAGGGTGGAGCTCACGCCATAAGTCTACCAAATCATGAGTCCATAAGGTTTGAGTGAAAGATTTGGCTGCAGAGGAGGGGTTAGAGTCCTCTGGGGGATACTTATCAAGAGCAGGATTCAGAACTAAATTCGAGTCCCCCACTACCAGAAGAGTGCCTTGTTGGTGAACTGCCAGAAGGGAACAGACATGCGATAAAAAAGGCCGAGGATTAACATTTGGAGCATAATAACTCAAAAGCGTGACATCTACACCCTGAATTGTACCCTGTTATAAAAGATACCTACCATTTGGGTCTGCAATACACCTCCCACAAACAAATGGGGTTTTCCTATGGAAAGCAATGAGGACTCCCCTTTGTTTTGTAGGGCCAGTAGCCTGAAAAACCTGAGGGTAGCAGGCATCAAATTACTTTGGGCTAGAAGTAGCGGAAATGTGAGTTTCTAGTAGGCAGGCAATATCTATGCGGCGAGCCTGGAGGAACTTAAATATCTTCACTCGCTTTTGGGGGAAGTTCATGCCTGAACATTCAAGGATAACCAATTTAACGACATGTCAGCTGAAAAAGAAGAGGATAGCCTCCATCACGATTCCCGGGAACTCTGAAAAAAATAAGGTGAAAAGACAAGGTACACGGAACAAGAAACCAGGAAAAGGAAAAAAAAAAAAAAAATCAAGGAAGAAGAAAACATTAAACCATCTCGTATACAGGCAATATCATTTAACGCAACAAGATCAGCACAAAAAGCATAACAACCAGTTGTGGGGGATAAACCCACACGTAGGCTGGATAGAGGGTAGGACAAAGGTCCAATTCACACACCATCTCGAGAGGGGACGCAATGGTCCACCGGAACTACTTGGCTTAACTAGAACAAAACATTATTTAGCAAACAACATAGGCTAGGTTACTCTACTACCTAGTAATGATGACTAAGGCTATATGAACTGTATTCAACGAGCGACACAGAGGCAGGTAAAAACTCCGGATAGCCCATATGTGCGAGATCGCTCATGGGTGCAGCCCAATAAGCAGGGTCACGCCCATAGCTGAATATCTACCTGCAGTGTCGCTCATCATGCATAGAAGGTGTGAGAACAACCTAAGCAAAGCTAACATGTCCACAAGGGCCTAAGCCCAGTAAAAGAAGTAATATAATCACATGACAGCACAGAAGCTGGAAATTAACAAAAAAGAGCGTTCAAGGGCAATATCGCTCATACTGCTAAAATGGAAAAAAAATAGATTATCAGCTCGCAGAGACCGCCTGGAATCACTGGGTCTGAAGGGTTCGGAGAGCTTGAGAGCTGTTTTGAGTCAGGGGAGGTGACTTGCGTGAAGATTGTGATCTCTGCAAGCGTGCAGGGATAGAGGACTCTTCAGTCTGGGATAGTGGCAAGTCAAATTTCAGTTCCTGGAAGTGATTACGAAGATCCACAAAGAGGAAACCTGGAACTTTTGACCTTGGTAGGAGAAGAAGAGCTGAAATGGGAAACCCCCATCTATATTTGATATTAGCTGACTGTAAAATTTGTAGGTAGGGTCCCAGGGTGCGGCATTTTGCTATTGTAACTGGAGATAATAATCAGCAAACAGCTGAAGGGAGTTACCAATGCCAATGTTGGTCGATTTTGAGCTGCCTGCAGGAGGGATGCTTTAGTAATAGTGGAACTTAATAATAATATCCCTTGGGGGGCCCTCCGGGGGTTTGGGGGATAAAACTCTGTGAATACGATCAAAATTCCAAATGTTCCAGAGGGATCTCAGGAGCCAGTTCCTGAAAGAGGGCAGTACCCTGTAGATCAGTTACCACCTCAGGCACACCACGGGAATACGGAGGTTATCTCTAAGGGCCCTGTTCTCATTATCTTCCAAATTATCTTTTAGGGTGTCCAACTCTGCGTTGTAAATCCTCCCACCTACTGCTCATTACTAGAGATGAGCGAATTATTCAAAAATTCGGTTCGGCTGATTCGGCCGAATTCGCGAAATAAATTCGCTTCGAGCCGAATATATTCGCTGCGAATTTAACTTATAAAAAGGGTGTTTCTAGGCTCAGAGAGCCTTTTATATTAGTGCAGAACACTGTACCTTTAATTTAAATGCCCATTGGAGTCTGCTGGGGAAGAGAAATAATACTGTCAGTCAGTATGACATGCAGATGAGTGCCGTCGATCTTAGAATCACCGCACACTTCACTCATTTGGGCAGTCATCGGGGCCAAAACCAGAGTGTGGAGCCACAGTGTGGCGGTGGAGGCAGCAGCAATGGGATGCCATACAGCACCCCTATGACAAAATGGAAAAACCCACCAGCAGTGTGAGGAGACCTGAAAGTGGCACATGGCAGAGTGTTGGCGATGATGGAAGACAGCAGCAATGGGAGGCCGTACAGGGACCCATGACACACTCTGGACCTGGCAGCAGCATGAGGAAAGGCGGTACAGGGGCCCATGACAGATTACGGGCCTGGCAGCAGCATGAGGAGTCGGTTACGGGGGCCCATGGCAGATTACCGGGCCCCTGGCAGCAGCAATGAGGAGGCGGTACAGGGGCCCATGGCAGAGTGGCGGAGCGTAAGCAGCTAAAATTTGAAGGCCATACAGAGGCCTATGTTAAAAAAGTCCCCCCTCTAAGCAGCAGCGTGGGGAGACGACTATCAAGAGTCCAATGGCAGAGTGGCGGAGCAGAAGCAGCTTTCAATTGAAGGCCATACACAGGCCTAGGTTTAAAAGTCCCTCACAGTTAATTCCAATAACGAACTATACTCCTCCGTGCAATCTACTTACGAGACCCTGGGTCAGGTCTGGGATCCCAATTTGTGGTATGAGACTGGTTTTTGTTCAGCCATGCTTGAGGAGTAATAACAGGTCTGGCTGCTGCCCTTTGGTGTCTGGCTTAATGCGCACAACACTGAACATCCCAGCGTTTGTCAACGATTTGCCGTTAGTGATGCAAAACCCACTGAACCACGTTTCATGAGGAGCCGGTACAGGGGGCCATGAATCAGTATGGACCTGGCAGCAGCGGGCGTGAGCAGACGACAGAGGCACATGGCGCAGGGGTGGCGGTGTAGGCAGCATTATTCTGAAGCCATACACAGGCCTAGGTTAAAAAGCGGAAGCCGTCAGCAGCGTGAGCAGACGACAGAGACACATGGCGCAGGGTGGCGGTGGATGCAGCAGTATTCGGAAGCCAAACACAGGCCTCGGTTAAAAAGCGGAAGCCGTCAGCAGCGTGAGCAGACGACAGAGGGCACATGGCGCAGGGTGGCGGTGGAGGCTGCAGCGCAAATGGGAAGGCCATACAGCACCCTATCACCAAAATGGAACCCACCAACAGTGGTAAGGAGACCTGAAAGTGGCACATGGCAGAGTCTGGCGATGAACGTCAGCAGTCATTCGAGAGGCCGTACAGGGGGACCCATGACACACTCTGCTCTGGACTTGGCCGTCAGCAGCAAGAGGAGCAGGCGGTACAGGGGCCCATGGCAGAGTGGTGAAGCGTAAGCAGCTTAAATGAAGGCCATACAGAGGCCCTATAGTTAAAAAGGGGTGGTCCCCCAGCAGCAGTGTGGGGGAGACGACTATCAATGTAGTCCAATGGCAGAGTGGCGGAGCAGAAGCAGCTTCAATTGAAGGCCATACACAGGCCTAGGTTAAAAAGTCCCCCCAGCAGCATTCATCGTGTGGGGAGACGACTATCAAGAGTCCAATGGAGGAGTGGCCTGGAGCGGTCTGGATGCAGCTTATTTGAAGGCCATACACAGGCCTAGGTTAAAAAGTCCCCCAGCAGCATGTGAGGTGACGACTATCAAGAGTCCACATGGCTGAGTGGCGATCCTGGGAAGTCAGTGTTGTGATTGCATATGCAAAGCAGAAATCTAACGAAGTAATTGCCGTGGTGCGAAGAAGAATCATATACCGTCGTACTTCCATCCATAAGACTGGAAAAACCTGCGACCGGGAGCTTTATTTGCCCTGACCCGCTGATGCAGCTTCTGGGATACCCAAGAGGCCCATGGCAGAGTGGCGGAGCTGTAAGCAGATTTCAGTCATTAAAGGCCATACAGAGGCCTATGTTTAAAAAGTCCCCCCAAGCAGCAGCGTGGGGAGACGACTATCAAGAGTCACAATGGCGAGTGGCGGAGCGGAAGCCAGCTTCAATTCTGAAGGCCATAAACACAGGCCTAGTTAAAAAGCGGAAGTCCCCCCAGCAGCATTGTAGGTGTGGGCAGACGACTATCAAGAGTCCAATGGCGCTGAGTGGCGATCCGGGAAGGTCAGCATTGCAGATGCAAATGCAGAAATTTTATGAGGTAATGACCGTGGGTGCGACAGAAGATCAGTATTTACGTCGTACTTCCAGACCTGAAGTGGAACAACCTGCGAACAGGGAGCTTTATTGCCCTGACCGCTGAGCAGCTTATGGGATACCAAGTGTTTGGCTTCTGTGGGGAATTAGGGTGGTTGGAAAATGAGGTGAAACCATCAGAGCGGGGGGAGGGGCGAGGCATGATGAGCAGAATACTTAAACTGATGACAGAGCACAGTGTCAGTGCTCCGGAGGGAATATCTTGCTTCAAAGCTGACACTTAAAGGTATATCGACGGTCAGAGGACCACAGGAAGTGGAGCTTGCGTCTTAATCTCGAAACTGAGCCAGTTGGCAGGACGTGAAAAGTGGACTACGGGCCGCACGTATATGAAACGGGTTGTTCCTCTTCTGGAATATGTGTTGGAGCAATGGCCACTCTTTTTGGTACTGGCGTTTTGTCTATTTAATTCCTCGATAACGGACTCTACTCCTCCGTGCAATCTAGTTACGTGACCCTGGGCAGGTCTGGGTCCAATTTGTGGTAAGAGACTGGTTTTGTTCAGCCATGCTTGAGCGAGTAATAAACAGGTCTGTGCTGCCTTTTGGTGTCTGGCCTAATGCGCACAACACTGAACGTCCCAGCATTTGTCAACGATTGCCGTTAAGTGATGCAAACCCGCTGAACCACGTTCATGAGGAAAGCCGGTACAGGGGGCCATGAATCAGTATGGTACCTGGCAGCAGTGTGAGGAGACCCGAAAGTGGCACATGGCATCCAGGATGGGCGGTGAGGCAGCAGTATTCGGAAAGCCATAACACAGAGGCCTAGGTAAAAAGCGGAAGCCGTCAGCAGCGTGGAGCGGAGCAGACGCAGAGGCACCATGCCGCACAGTGTTGAGGAATGGCGGTGGAGGCAGCAGTATTCGGAAGCCATACACAGGCATAGGTTTAAAACTGGAACCCAGCTGCATACGTGAGCAGACGACAAAGACGCACATGGCAGAGGATGGATCTGGCAGCATAGTTTGAGAAGGCGGTACAGGGTGCGCCAGTGGCACAGTAGTGGTGGTATGGGGGCTCCCCAACTGGATGCCAGAAATTGGCCGATAGAGGGCTATATACTGCATGGAATTATAAAAGTTGTAAGACAGCGGCCAATAATAGTACACCCTATAACGCATCAGCCTATTGTATTAGGCTGCCTATAATGCTACACACTTTATGACTTGATTGACCATTGGGCCTTTAAGGGCATATACACTAGCATGAAAAATCATGGACTTAGTTCTGAGAGTGGTTTGGAACGGCTATATACAAAAAATTCCAAGCTGTCCGGCACAGCGGACAATTAAAAAATATACAAAATAAAATCAAGCTGTCAGCCAAAAAAAAAAAGGCGACACCCATATAAAAGCAATTCAAAAAATATGTTCAACAGCGGCCTCTAAAAGAATAAAAAAATTCCCGAGGGGTTCAGGGAGCGGCCCTGAACGGCTAGGTTATTACTAAAAATATTTTTGGTGGCCATAACATCGGCCTATAAAATAGATGTCTACACAGTGACAAAAAAAATATGTGTCCGCCCGACAGCAGCCCCTAAGGCGACAGATATACAAAGCAATTCCCTGCGAGCGCACAGGGCCCCCACAGTGTCTGAGGATGGACGTCGATGGCGCAGAAAGGCCCTGAGACCAACTGTACTAATAGTGGTTTTTATTAGTACTTTATTTTGGCCTCCCTCTCAGCAGGTGTGAAAAAGGCCACTCATTTTTGAACCGGTAGCAAGGGTCCAACATGGTGGACAGCCAAAAGTCCATCCCTCTGTCTGATGGTTATTATTCGGCTGTCGCTACGCAAGCAACATTCGAGCATGCATATGGGCCATTTGTGCCAAAGGAATGCGAGGGACTCCCTGCCTCCATCTCCACAGCATACCTGCCACTGGTGCGTCTGGGTCCTCTGTCTCCTCCTCCTCCTCTACCAGATGCTCCTGCTCCCTCCACTTCCTGTCCGCTGAGTGGAAAAAACCCACCCATTTCACTCAAATAATTCATGAGCACCAATTGTCTCCTCTACCTCCTCCTCTTCTTCCTGTCCTGCCCACCACAGGGGTCATGTGGCGTTGAGATCTGTGCGCCACGTCTACCGCACCCTGACCAGCCATTGTTAACAGCATTTGTTCCAGGATGTGCAACAGAGGAATGACGTCGTTCATCCCATAGTCCTGCCATCTCACGAAATAGCGTTTTGCTCCTCAAAGGGCCTGAGCAAGCGGCAGGTGTCACGCATGAGCTGCCAATGGCTGACATCTAAGTTACACAGGGGAGTACCTTTTATCCGCTTTGTAACATCAGGAAATCGGTGATGGCCTTTCGCTGTTCGTAAAGGCGGTCTAACATAATGTAGGGTTGAATTCCACCTTGTTGCAACGTCGCAGATCAGGCGATGCTGTGGAATTCCGTTCTGCCGCTGCAGCTCAAGGAGGGTGTGCTTTGCGGTGTAGGAATGGCTGAAATGCATGCAAAGTTTACGTGACATTTTAAGGATGTCTTGCAGTGGGATGGTGGATTTTAGGAACCGCTTGACAACCAGATTGAACACGTGAGCCATGCATGGCGCATGGCACAACCTTCCTTGACGCAGAGCAGACACCATGTTCTTTCCGTTGTCGGTCAACATGGTTCCGATTTTCAGTTTGCGCGGAGACAGCCATCTGTCGATTTCTCTGTTCATTACACTCAGAAGTTCCTCCCCCTGTGTGACTACGTTCGCCAAGGCATACCAGGTGCAGCACAGCGTGACACCGTTGCGCCCTGCACATGTGATATGCCGGTCGGGTAATGGGGACTTGGCACGGGGGTGGCGGCTGGCTGAGGACACGGCGGAAGAAGAGGTGGTAGAGGCGGACATCTTTGCTGGACCAAGGACGTGCAAACGTGGAGGCAAAAGCGGCGTGACCTGTCCAAGTTGCTGGTGCGGCTGTGCCGGCACCACGTTCACCCAGTGGGCCGTAAATGACATGTACTGTCCCTGACCGTAGTTACAGCTCCACACGTTGGCGCTGCCGTGCACTTTGGCAGAGACCGACATGCTCAAAGACTGGCCCACCATCTCTTCTACATGTGAATGCAGGGCTGGCACTGCCTTTTTGGCGAAGAAATGCCGGCTTGGCACTCTCCACCGCGGCTCGGCACAAGCCATCATTTCTCGGAAAGGTGCTGAGTCCACCACTTGGAAAGGGAGGGACTGCAGCACCAGCAACTTGGACAGGAGGACGTTCAGCTTCTGCACCGTCCGGGTGCTGTGCTCGCAAACTGTTGTCTCTTGGAAACGGATTCCAAGAAAGACTGCTGACGGAATCCGTGAAGAGGAGTAGCAGGAGAAGGAGCATCTGAACGAGCGGAAGATGCCAACGAGCGACAACTCCCCTCAGCAGAGGTGTTGGAGCCTTGACTGGCTGATAGAGGGCGATTGACGTCGGGTGACGGAGCAAGTAACGGAGCGGGTGATGGAGCGGGGGCTGGGGCAGGCAGAAAACCGCCGTATCTTTATCACGGTTTTCCCAGGCCACCGAATGGCGACGCTGCATATGCTGACGCAACGCTGTAGTCCCAACATTGGGCCCCCTGGCCACGCTTGACTTTCTGGCCACATAGTCGACATACGGCTACGTTTACTTCCTCGGGCGGCTTGACGAAAAATTGCCACACACCGCCGAGTAGGAAACTTTGCCCCCGCTACTCCTCACTGGCTGACTGCTACTTCCTCCGTGCACACCGGCACCACTACTGGCCGTGGTGGTAGGCTGCAGTGGAGCTGGTGCTCTACTCCGTGGCCGTTTGGCTCCACTGACACTGCTGCGACCCTGCTGCCTCCTGGGCAACCCACCGACTGTTTTGCTCGCTGGCAAGCTGGCACCCTCTTCTCCTGATGATGCGGAAGCAATAGCCTGATGACGACGAGGCTGCCAAGTGCGATCAGCCTCATCATCATCAATTAGGGTCTCCGCGTCACTACTAGCCCCCTCGGCTGCGTGTGGGTCAGGAGACAGACCTGTCTCTAGACCGGCTACCGAGCCACTCTCCTCGCCAGTACTACTTCTTCGCCTGGCTGCTGAAGAGGCGGATGTCTCCCCCCGTTCCTGACCGCCCTCTGTTAGCTCTTCCTCACTGTACAGTGGGGCTGAGCCCACAGCATGCGATACTTCGCTTGGTGAGGGAACACCAAAGGACAGGGGCAGGTCGAGGACACGTGATTTCAGTGGGCTTGCTCCCGGGCCATGCCAACTAACGGTTGTGTCTGACGTACCCACCGACCGTTGGCTGTAGGTGTCAGAGGTGACCTGGGAAGAGGAAGACGACCGAGTCAACCAATCGATGACGGCAGGGTTGTCGGTGGAGACATGACCGCTGGATGACACCGGAAGCACTGGCCTCTGGCTGCGACTAGTGCTGCCCGACCCCCTTCCTCTGCTGCCACGTCTGCTCGCTCCTGAAACATTGCCTCCTCTGCCACTCCTCTGCGTGTTGTCTGACATACTCTTTAATTCAATAAGCACCCCAAAAATAAAAACGGATTTAACTCTTTGAACGTACAATAGTGGCTGTGAAGCAGAAAGTCAGTTTATTTAGCACAATCGGTCAATTGCAGCTTGCCGTTGGCTGTAAAACTGTACGTTTATGTCACTGGAATGCACTAATCACCCAAAAAATATTTACCGCCACCCGGCATGTATATGGATTTAACTCTTTGAACGTACAATAGTGGTTGTGAAGCAGAAAGTCAGTTTATTTAGCACAATCGGTCAATTGCAGCTTGCCGTTGGCTGTAAAACTGTACGTTTATGTCACTGGAATGCACTAATCACCCAAAAAAT